TATATGTATACCACGTAACTTGCGTCGAAAAAGACTACAGGAGTAGTCGAAATGTAGTCGAAATATTCGTTTCAATAAACAATAGTGTTTCTAAGTCAACATTTTACGTATTTAAGTTTTCATTACCGTTACGCAGTATTATATTTTATATGTTTCGAAACACACACGGACAAATCTTCTTCATGTATTATTATTTATATAAACAAATTATTAAATAATAATTAGGAACAATATGTGACAATCTTATCGAGCACAGCCCTTCAACGAAAAAATAAAAAACGTCTCGAGCAAGCAGGATTCGAACTTGCAACCTCTCGCTATCAAGGCAAGTGTCCAAACCGTTAGACCACGGAGGCATATGACTGAAACGCTCACACATAGTGGAGATAAGATGGAAAAGCTTATATGTCGAAGCTTGGAATCATAGTAAATATTCAAATTAGGTAACCAACACATTTTTCCCAAGTCATTGCAAAAGCAGTGTTATGGTACAAAACAAATATTGTCAACCATGATGAAAATCATTCAACTGCAGCAACAAAAAGAGGACTTAAAAAATGTTGGTTTTTCTCAATAAGAATATTTTTTTAACTGATCATTGCAGTGCAATATTTATTACTATTATTATATTTATTTCCTCCATAAAAATATATATGTATATACAATATAAGATTAAAACATTAAAATTGAAAGAAAATCCATTGAAACAAAGTGTATACACATTGCTGGTGAGTGGGGAGGCGGGCATACCAAAAGGAACGGAGTTCCTGTACAATAAATGTTTGGAATCAACAAGCACTCATCAGCAAAACGTATAGTCAAACAAGAAAGTTGTATGAACGATTACTTAACAAATTTCTTAAATAAATTAAAATTACCATTACGCACATGTAAAGGAAGACAATTCCAACAGTCAATAATTCTATGATAAAAAGAATGAGCAAGTTCGTTGCATCGGGGATTTCTACTACAAAGAGTAGGATATTTACTTTTATGCTCGAGGGTAAAAATCGAATTTCCGTGATCATGGCCTTGTCCTTTGAGCCTTTCTTCCGAAAAATGAATTGTATCTTTCTTCGATTATTATCACCATTCCACTAAATTTTATGATGATCTTGCTAACAGACAGACAGAAAAACAGACAGTAGTGAATACATAACCTACTTGGCGGAGGTAATGAATACCGTCGGCGGAGCTAATAATATTCGAATAGGTTTATCAAAACTTGAATATATATGTGTCAGATTTTGTATATTGTAATATTATACAAAAAACGTTTTTGAAGTCATCGCAAATGCAGTCAAATGGTCAAGGGCGCAGATCTGTTTTGAAAGGTGAGGGGGATGGGGAGAGACATTTCGTGAAACCACAACCACCTCAGCCCCAACATGGTTGGGGAAGAAGACCCCAAAAATATGACAATTTAGAGGTTTTAAAGGCTTATTTAATCGATTTTAGAGTCGGTATCTAGAATATACATATAATTTTATTTTCTCTCCGACGAATTGTGGTTTTTCTCCCTGACGGGGGAGGAGGAGCCTCATTGGCTGCATTGGATCTAGCCCCCATATCTCCCCTTAGCGCTGCCACTGAATGATCATCATTTCACATCACCATTATTTACCATGATCTTTTATCAGCAATTTTCGCCAGAGATCTAATTAATATGTGTGATGTAGGCTACCATAGAAAATAAAACTGAAAAAAAAATTGTCTTTGACGTAAATACTTTACTTTACCTACTTCAAAGCCGTGAGTCGATCCACCTCAGTCCCACCATGGTTGGGGCTGAGGTGCGAAAACTGAGAAATAATACCTCTAGATGGCCGGAAATACACTCTTATATAGTGAAATTCGTCATCATCATGTCGCACGCTCTGCCACTGGACTGCTAGAAATCAGAAGACTGATTAGATCATAGTATTTTTGGCATTACCTCGCACCCTCCAGTCACAGTTTTTTCTACCACTTTCTTTCGGCTAGGAGTCACTATCTTAACCTTACACAGGCCCGTAGCCAGAGGGGTCGGACGACCCCCCCCCCCACGGCTGGGGTCTTTTTAGGCCAAATATTTTTCTGATAGAGCTGGTGGGAGGGGATGCCACCACCTACGTTGATGCCAAGTACTTGTGCCCAGGCAGTCAAGCAGTGCGATGCTCATCAGTATCACAACATCTCACAGTTGTTAAAACTGGCATGCCCTGCCAGTCACATCATGTGAGTGTGAGCGGTCTGCCAGCACTCTGAGACGGCTGAATACTTTCATGCGGGCATCCATGAGTGAGCCACACGCCCTATGACATACCAGTAGACCTAGAGGAGACTGTCACCATCTTCGCCACACTCCACCCAAGAAGACTGGAGCTGACGAGCATACTCAATGAGTAGATTTAATGCCAAAGACATCACCTAATTATGCCTTTTATTCA